ATATATTCTCATTAACGTGTTTCAGGGAAAACACTGGAAATGAATGCAAGACTTCTTTCATAAGCCAGGGTTACAGGACATTCCTACCACTAAACCTAAATGTCTGCAGACTGGATTAATGCCAATTACTTTTTTCCCCAAAACACTGCAACATTCTGTTGTTTTAACAGCTATTTTGTGTGGAATTTTGCTTCCACGTCATTAATAAAAATACTATGACCATGAGCTTGTGATAAATGATACTTACCAGCACTTTATTTTGATGCTTGTATTAAAACATGTTTTAACACATTCATTAAACTTTGTAATCATGCAACAATAGACCTTTAATTGCTTTCTTTCCAATTTCAACACTTACCATCCAAAACTGTTAATGATGGTATGATTTTAATTGTTTTTCGATATTTAATTCTTCTCTTAAGTTTTCATTTCCCCCCCCCATTTAGAATGGGTTTTTCCTAGAATTGTTTTGCTTTGTACACAAGGGCATGCAAAATGTATTGTTTTACTACATCAATATAAAGGGGCCCCATTTAGCTCTGTTGGTAAAGCATGACTTGAATCTCGGGCGTCAGGTCCTCCGTGTTGGAGGGTGGGCACAAGGCTAACAGCCCTGACCCGTAAAAAACGAATGTTACGGAAACAGCAACAGGATGTTGCTGCCCCTACGTGCTGGAAGGCATACTGGGCAAACATCCATCACATCAATATAAAGCCCGTATCTTTCTTCATAGATGGATCCTATGTATTTGAAGAGGCTACAGATTAAACATGGTGATATTATAATTATATTTTACAGAAGGCAGGGCAATTAAAAAAACACAGCATTTAATTGTGATCTTTTTGTATATAAAGGCTGTGTGTGATAGTTTTGTTGGAACTCAATATTACTGATACTAAAAACAAAGTGTTTCCTGTCACTACTTACGACAAGTTCACTTTGTTTTCTTGTCGACTATAGCTTTGCACAATTCCGCTGGTGTTTTTATAACTCAAATGTTAACACATTTTAAAAATGTCAGGCTTTGGTTTAATCATTTTGTAAAATGTAAGTTTTCCAAGCATACATCATGTTAATCTCTCTTAATTTCAAATAAGCCTATTGCTCTGACTGAAGTAGCTATATTTAGGATCTTGACAATATCAAGCATAAATATGAAGAAAACCAAAAATGAGGCAAACCATTTCCATTAAAGAATGTGCTGCTCTTCAACTGTTTCTTATTTCAGTGCTTTGTGTCATTAAGAAGACATACATAACATGGGCTATGAAAAATTTCAAAGTGCAGCCAGTTAGGAATTGCAATGAACAAGCTCAGTGTTTTTGTACCAAGCTCTGAAAAGGCTGTTTGCCTGAAACTGCAATAAAACTACAACAAAATTTTAAAAAATGTATGTCTTGTTATATAATAGTATGTCGTAACACAGTGGCCACTTTAATTGTATACATTCTAAAAGGCAAACTGACTGTTGTAGCAAATGTCTGGCACTTAAAGAATGAACAATGATTTTTTTTTTTCAGCTGACATAATAGGAGACTTCTTCAACAATCATTAGCTGTTATAAAGCACAGCTGCAGCTTTCAATTTGGACAGGAGGACTGAAATACACTGAAGACGAAGGCTGAAAGGCAGCTCTTCTGAAACAATCTAGTGCCAAAAGCTAAATCTTAACAAAGCGCGGATTTGGTTATTTCTTTTCTTAACTAAATGTAAGTGAAGCCACAGCTGTACAATTTTAGAGCATGCCTGTGATTATTCCATTGCTGATTCTATCGCAGTTTGAACACAAAGCACAAATGAGGGCAAAAGAGGTTGTTAATGGATACCAGCATGCAGAAAAGTTACTTTGATCTGTTCATTGCTAGGACAGGTGAGAGGAGATGTAGATTCCAGCCGTGTTTGTTGAAATGTACAAATTGGTCCATTTAAACCTTGCAAGCACTGTACCACATAGCACCTCCTTCAGGTAATCAATTTTTCTGTTTTGTGTCAGCCTGCTGAAATATCGCTTTGGATTACACAAACACCGGGCCTGTAAAATGTACATTGTTGATTTCAGGATATGCAATACTTACAAGAGCAGGAAAGACTGCAATCTAAACCATTTGCAGGGCAATGCACTGCATCACATGGTCTACCACTTCTTTCCAGTGCATTATGACTTATAATTGTAAACCAAAGCATCTGTACATTCAGGCTGCCTACAATCCAAAGATTTCATAAGCTTTCTTGTCATAAATTCTTCCACTCACAGAACTTACCCTTTTTTTTTTACACTGTCTATTGATATTCCTGTTGTTGGCTTCATTTTGAATAATTTAATTGTAATGTGCTGAAAAACACTTGAGTGACTGCTGCATCAGCACAAAATCACCTCAACAATGAGCTGACTGGGAAGAGGTGATTTCAGGTAAATGTCAAGCCAGTTGAAAATCAAGTAGGAAAAGAATCCATTTGTCCAGGTTATCAAGAGAATAAGTCTACACTGCTGTCAAGAGCCATCTAGGGTGCTCATTGCCAGTGACTTTTAACGTTGCATGACAAGACGTTACAGCAAAACATGGGCCACCAACAGCGGGCAAGGCTCTGAGTTCCTGACTCACGTCCCCTCAGCAAGATCGATCAGAGAACGAGACGGCAAATGCAAGCTGGATCACAGCACACTTTACATATTGCCTGCTTGTACTGCCAGGTTTACACAGCTTATAACCGTCACAATAGACACCCTGCTGATGACAAATATTAACACGTATGACAAATTTTACCGAAGCCAGATTTGTTCAATGAAATGCCGAGAGCTCGGGGGGCGTTGATGGGGGCTGGGTGCAGCGAAGATGCGCGAGTGTGGACATGCTGGTCAGTTCAGTACCTGCAGCATGCACTGAGAGACCACCCCCTCCGGGATCTCGGGGAAGCGCTGCTTGAGGTCGAGCAGGATCTGATAGTCCAGCTGCTGACTGCCCTGCGCCATCCCAGGACTGCCGGCGTTTCACCGGGAACGGGAGTCAATGGGCCTGCCAATGGCTACAGTCCTCCAGCTCTTCTTTCATCTTCTGAAAAAATAAACAGAGGGTAATTGTCAGCCTTTCACCTTTCGTACAGAACAAGCGTGTCTTCACAGTGCTATTAGGGCAGACTCTGTTCTGGCAGTTTTCCTAGCCAGTCAGCAAACACTGCTGCAATCTGAAATATGAATGCCAAGAACTAATCTACAGCACGCAGTATCAGTGAAGTTACGCTGATTCAGGAACAATACAAATCACATACAGAAGAAACAGCCCTCGTGAGTGAAGGATGTCACAATCTTTGCTGCCGCAGAATCTTCTTCTATGGAAGGATTGGCAGGATATCACTTGAGCCAATTTTAAACATTAAAAAAAGAGAAGTCAGTCTGACTTGTTAAGGAAATTGAATGTATTAAACTGAAGAGGAGAAACTGCTGCAGTACAGTGCTGCACTGATTTTAGCAGCTGAAATATGAATATGTATCTTAACAGCAAGCACAAGCAGGTGAACGTTTTGGTAACGTCATAAGTCACTTCACAGGCAGCTCCAGGAGGTAATGCAAAGCAGAGTCTTTATTTGCACCAGCTTAAAAATTACCTCCACCTTATAAAAAAAAAATGCTACATGTCACAGAAGTCCAATTCCAGCCAAGCAGTGACCTAATTGACCTTGGATGCAACGCTATCTCATTCAATCTGTTCTAGTCTCACAGGCCTGGCAAATACAATCCCTACTCGCTACACAGAAAGGAACGGCTTAATTAAAGCGCAGGCGTTCATACACAGCACAGCCAACGTGGAACCCAGGCACCATCCCAGCATCTCAGGAACCCAAAGCAGCAATTAAAAAGCTCACAGATTTCACGAACAAGGGCTCTGAGCGAGCTGACAAAGAAAAACACTTTTGCTGATCAAAGCTACTGTACTGTTTTCTTTACAACAGGAAGGGGTTCCTGTAAACCTAAGGGTGTAAATCATAGCTCCCCATAGAGCTTGGTACACTCTAAATAAATGTAATACATGCTGCATGTGAGTGTAGTATATACAGGAGTCCTGTATGAGACAAAATGCTGAGTGTTAGAAGTGTAGAATGTATACAGAATGTACTATTTAATGCCTTTTCCAGTTTCTTAAAGTGAATTATCTGATGAACCTGGAATTCCAAGGTTATTGTGCTATACATGCACCTGGCTACTAACACACTCAATGTCTAACGTGAACAGTACATTTTGAGGGAAATAAGTAATATACAAGTTCACATTTTATGTAGCTGTTGTATTAGAGGTTATTAAAGCAACAGAATTATACAGCATACAATAAATAAGAGGGGGTTAAATGTGAAAAGCTGTCATTTCAGGAGCATTGCAGGGTTTCTCATTTTGCCTCAGTAGAAGAGATAAACCAGTGCTATACACCTGAGTGAGCAAGTACTGTCACAGAACAGACTTCACTTGGGAAACAACTCTGCTTTATTCCATTCAACAGCTGGCGTGCTCGTCCACACAAAAGCGCCAGACTGTGCACATGGGACATGGAACAAAACAACAAACTCACAACATTAAATTCATAACTGGTATTTATAGGCTCGGGAAAACATAAGTCGTTGCACACCCTTACAATGTTTGAGCATTTAAATCGGCAGCACCCAGGGATACCCTACAAGAAAAGGTTGTAGCTTTCTTATTCAGAGGCAAGTGTGCACATCTTTACATGTTCATAATGGCAGTGTCCTTAAGGTGTGGGATTACACAGCAGCATAGTAATATGACGGGCTATTACTGGAGCTCAGTTGCTAAGGACTTTGATCCTTGCTATTTATATCGTACACAAAAGCTACCAGAAGTGAATGTGCTGGTACACAAAGTTGTTAGTTTCAGCTCTCTGAACAAGTATGTCAATCTGAATAATGCTTTCTCATATAATTACAGATTAACTGTGTGCTACAGCCTGATCTGAATCCTTCAGGTGATAAGCATACTGTGGGAAGCAGCAGAGATCTCAAGAATGCTGGCTTGTAAAATGTACAAACTAGAAATTCTGGATGCCCACTCTACCTTTCAGGTCAGTCAAACATTCTGAAAGTTAATCTAAACAGATACCAAATACTGCAGGTCCTGCTGCACAGTAACGTGTGAAAGCCCATTCTGTTCTCCCTGAGCCAATGGCTTTGTTGCCAATTTAAAAATGCTGACCGCATGCATCAGTACATTTTCATGAGAAGACTCTACTGCAGTTCCAGGGCTATTTCTCCTGTTCTATGTTCTGGATTACTTTGGCTCATCTGCAACAAAAGCTACACTTGAATGTGCTCCTATAGCAGCTAAAATAAAATTAAGATTAACACTGTATTTGAATACTTAATGAATACTTAAAATTACTTTATTTTCCAATAAATGCACATTGCTTTGTGCATATACAGGCAAACTCCAGGACACAAAATCAAATCCTTTGTTCTTAAATGCCACTTGAAAGCATAAATCATACAACAAATGTTGTATCCTAACAGAGATGTTGAAGAATGTCTAAAACAGTTCCCATTTTACGCTCCTTTGCAAAAAAAAGTGGAGATGGATTCCTGCTTTACTGCTACTACTCGAAAGAAAAATCACGCATGCAGGAAAAAAAAAAGACCTTGTGTGTTAAAAGTACAATGCAGCCAGAAAACAGATTGTAGGCACCGATCATGGAAACTTTTATCACTCATTTTGAACACTAAGCGAAAACACTTTCTCTGCAGTTAACGTGAAGTTAGCTGAACTGACGCAGTACTGCGGTGTCAGCAGGCGCTGCTGTTGTACCAACACAGGCCCATTGAAGAAGAGATACAGAGAAACAAAGAACAGCAGAGGCAGAAGACCCTCGTCTTCGGCACAGATAATCCCTCTGCCCCGAGGCGGGTGTCCGAGATGAAGCCAAAGCCCCGAGGCCAGGGGGGATGAGATGGATAAACATGAAAGCGATCCACAGTCAGCCTGCAGGGAAAGACGCTCCTGTGCGGCTTACAAAAGGCCGCTCTTACAAGCGCAGAGAAAGCTTTCATAGCCACCCTTCAGGAGGTTTGGGATCAACTCAAGAGAGAAGAATAACTCAAGGTGAAATAAAGTTGAGTTCTTCATCGATTTCGAAACTTCCAAGTGATCACATAAAAAAGAATTACAACCATGACGTAAAAGACAGAGAAAACGGATTCTTTTTGTTGTTGCTCACTACCGGTTTGTGGCATCATTTGGAAAATATTCACTTCAGCAATAAGCAAACCCCAACCCCATTTTTTCCCAACAATTCAATAAATGGTCCATAAATCACCTAGAACAGAATGCAAAATAGGGTAAAGCAGACTAAAATCCTCTCTTTTCCGAAACGTAGAAGCACATGATAAATATTTTAATCCTGAATATTAAACTAAATTCAAAACATTCTTGGGTCAGGCTGGGCAAGACTCCACTACTATGTAGCAAAGACTGCTGGATACAAACCTCAACCACAAAAATGATTTTACTTTAAGGACTTAAAACTGCTACAAACCTCTAGCCAGGCCACTGCTGTGTGCCCCAGTTCTTGGCAGACAGCATTAATGAATTTGTGGGTGAATCTATAGCACAGCTGTTAAGTGAAAGCTCAGGGTTATGGTTTTATCTGCTTCAGCCATCTCTAAACCCTTCCCATTATCCCCTGAACTCTTCCCTCACTGCTAAATTTAGAACACTGCTGAAGGAAAGCGTGCTCCTCTGAACAGTGCAATCAGGCAAACACAAACAAGACTAAAGTGGGCGGGTGAGACCCAGCCTAGTTTCCGATCTGATTCCAATCGTTTAGGTCTCTGAAGGGCGTTTACTGAACATGTTCATTCTGTACAAAATATCACAAAAACCAGGAAGCATTTCTACCCCATTAGCAAAACTGGTATGTACTGCAGACAGCAACGGCTCATCTGTAAACAAGCATTTTGTTCTGCAATACTGACCCAAAAGGGGTGAACTTTGGGGGCGTATCACATCCTGGCCACTTGAAACGTACATTTTCACCATGAGGTCTTCATTGTTGCCAACGTCAGGCTAAAGCACGAGATTGAGAGTCTCCTGCAGATAATTTCTACGCACTGACTGATTCAGATTTCAGTTCTTCCTTTACCGCTCTGTAAACCACAGCTTGCCTGCACTTAACAACCTGGAATGAAAACAGCAAACACACAACCCACATGAAACACTGCAAAAATAACTATGTATGAACAGCAAAATTAAAGTGTTCGAGACTCCAATTAAGACCACAAAATAAGTGAGAACAACATCAAACCTGTTGAGTAAAGAATCTTTGAGATTCACGAAGGAGAACAGTTGCTGTCTGGTAAGCTATAGTATAATTCTGACAGACCTACTGTCCAGCTGACTCCCGGGCTTCTAATACGTTAGGAGAAATTTCACTAGCAGGTTCCCTCTTCAATAAATCAAAGTGTTTGGCACAGACTCAAAAGTTAGAGGAAAATCCCCATGATCCAAGGGATTAGACAATAAAAGTAAGCCCCTAAAAGTAACAGCTTTACACAACACTATTGCAAAGGATCCTTACAAGTGGAGTATAACTACCGCAGCTTTGCAAAGGAAAAAAAAGGCATGTTTCTGTTGACATTCTTTACCCCCCAGCCAGTGTTTCAGTCTCTGAATAAATAACTTAAGACGGAGGCCTTTATACCCAAAAATACCCGCTACTTAGCACATTTTATTTTGGCCTTCTCTCGATTTCCTTCACAATACAAATGTCACCATAGTCCATAAACACGCTACATCAGTCTGATCGACAGACACTGGTGGCCTGCAGAATCAAGGCAATCAAACCCCCCTTTAAAAAGTGCAAGAGCATAAGGCTACAAATACCAGGAGACCCATCGGGTTCAGCTGGTTCCGAGCATCTTAACGTCTTGATCTAAAACACACCCTCTCTCCCCAAGGCCGTGTCCCAACACACACTCGTGCGGTCTCATCCCCCGCACGTGCGTGTTCCCGCTCGGTCTGCAAGGACTTGGGGCGTCCCATTTCCAAATCTGTTTCACA